TGGTAAGCGTATGTATATATAACCAAAGCACTACTTAACCTGTCATGTGTAGATAGTGCAGATGATGCGTGCTGTTGACAGGTACGTGAGGATTAGGTCTCAGATGTAGCTAGCGTGTGGTCGGAAGGAGACGTAGAGATTCGGCTAGTGGGTTGGACGGTTCAGGAATAGTCTCAGATTATCAGGGCACTGTCATTGACGTGTGCTGGCTTGAGATGATTAATGCTGGCTATCTTGACACGGCCGTGTCAATCAACCTCGAAGGTCTTTTCGTGACAGGAAATCACGTGAAAAGATCTTTTGTAAGTCTGTTGCAGAGGTTTGCGCACCGAATCTACTCGTAAGAAAGCATGTGAACAGGAAGACTAATCTCGAGGAAGAGCGACCTGTCAATGTTGTATTCGAGTTGACACCGGAGGCAGTGTTTGCATGTATTCAGACAATCGTTGGACGAAGTCTGCTCTACCGAAATTATTACTGCCTCGTGGTGTGAAAAATTCCCCAGGCAGACGCAATATAGTGCCGGTTGCAAGTTCAGTGACGGAACATTGAACATCTGACTTTAAGCTCGTTCTGATATCTGAGAGGACGAGCGGTGAAGTTCGGTATTAACTGTTGTTTTCTTGTGCTGGAAGAGCAATTTCGAGTTGGTATCGGAATCGCCCAACTAAAACACTCGAAGCTCGGTGGTAGGCTATAGAGAGTATTCGCTCCGTACTAAGCCGCCGAGTTAGCGAGAAGACCCTAGTTGTCGTCCTCGGTCAGTTGTGACAGTCGAGGGACAACCGCACAGCGCTGTCCATCCTTCTACGAAGCGGTTAGCAACATTCTCCTCCGTAACAGAAGTGACGGCAATAGCTGAGGGCCATCTTATGAAAGGATTGATGAACGTTTGTGATCATACCCATGCGACGGCGGCAACAGTCCTACAAGGTCAGTATGAAAGTGATTGAACCAAGCATCAGGCGTGGGGAATGTACCGATGGGTGCGGCTAAGTAACTGTGCACTTCCGGTTGTCGATATTGTAAACATTGCTGCCAGGAGTTCTTGACCAAAAGCGTTATATCTCGTCTCCGTAATCATGTGGCGTCTTGAGAGTGCAGCCACATTTACTCGATGTCACGATTGTTTCCCACCTTGAGTGATCGTGGGCTTGGCAACTGTGGGCACCAGACTTCAAAATACGACGGAACCAGCACAAACCTGCACACAATTCTGATTCCGCCTTTCGGCGTTGCTTTAGAGTTGCCCGCTAGGGGCAAGTAGTTGAAACTTTACGTTATCATGATGTTGCCCGTGGGACGTGGGGTTCTGGAACGTTTGTACGGTCCTGAAACGTGAGACGACGGTGAATACAGCTGACCCTATCTCATTGAGCTGGGAGGTGACTGGCATCAAGCTCTATATTAAAGTGTGGCACGGAGGCCACTACATAGCTGTCCCTAGAGCTGGTCCTCGCAATTATTTTATTTGCTATGAAGGCAAACTTAGTAAGTGGTGTGTCCCCGAACAGGGCTGTGATGGTAGGCTGTATATGAGCTGATAAATCTTCGAGCCACAGTTCTTCGACTATATCATGGTCAGCTGTCGAGAGTCCTGCCAAAGACTGCTGGCGCTTGAGGCGGTGGCTCAGTTTAGCAACACTCAGACAGTGACGTGTTAATAAGGTCTTCAGCCGTCCCTCACTCTATGGGAGAAAGTGTACCAGAATCTCCTCCTTGAGATGATCGTGGTCTCAGGTCTGTTAGAGTTGAGGATGACCCTACGGGTAGCATCTATATGATCCCTAGTCACGGACTCCAGAGTCTAGACATAATTCTGACGCTAGTTCGTCATGCGGGGGGTCGCGAATTGAGCCACGAACCAGAGTTCTGAATCGTGTGGAATAAAAGAAACAGGACAGAAGTTTAAAACCTGTATCTTGGAGTCTATTATATTATCCGTAATCTTAAAACTATCCACCATTTCGGTAGGTTGTTGCAAATATTACATATATTAAAAAGTATTGATATGAAACAGCGACAACAACAACTGAAGAAATAAATAGATGTGGATAGAAGAATAATAAACTCACTTTAAATAGCTTCGTTGGTAGATTTTCCAGCAGTTAATGCGCATTTGAAGTCGTCGCCCACCAAATTTAGTGGTGATCGAGTTCTGATTGACTATGATCATTATTACGTATAAATTGCGAGCTCGTCACAGAGAAGTGTTATTCCCTAGTAAAGAATATATTAGCCGGTGATTTCTTGGTATCAAAAGAATACTAGAATGGTGCGAAAAAAGACGAAAGAAATTACAGAGATAGTGGAGCAAAAATGGCAGCAACGAAAAAGGAAATTTTGCGCGTACAAAGTGTAATACACAAAAACTACTGTATGCAGTACAGTACGGTACAATTAGTTATAATAATGAATGTTTCTATTAAATCACTCGCGTTTTATTCATAAAAGGTCCTTTGTGATGCACAATGGGACAGTCTGATGAAATTTCGTCAGATATGACGGAATTAGATACCTAAATTTGGCGTATTAGATACCAGTCACATTGATGTGTCTGCGTCCTAGACTTCGGCCGAGTACCGTTCGCTTCAAACGTCATCTCATTTTTTACGAGGATACTGAGTTCAGACCACCATTCATTTGTGTATTGTGGATGTGGTTTAATTTAATCTTAAATGATTTATATCAGTCCATTGTTGATTCTTAGACCGAAATTTGATCAGTCATGGTTGATCGATAGGCATCCTATGCTCGCCACATTCTATCTATTCTGCTTAAACTTGTCTTATAATTTGGTAATCGTGATATGATTCTCATATGCCCTCAAAGGCCGATGAATTTCCAGTTTTTATGTTAGTCAAGTTGGACTAATCAATATCAGTTGCAAGAATCGAATTGAATTTATCAGAAGTAGTTGAGTATAATATGATATAGAGTCCCCTACCGTCAAGCTAGGTGGCTAGGTAAGTTCTTCTGTAATTTCAGTTCAGCTGTCTAACAACTCTGAGTTTACTCTCACTAATGCTATCTCCTTTCTAGATGTTCGACAGGTTCAAAAATATATCCATGAATGTGATAGTATAGAATGAATAAATCTAAAGTATGTCCGATACAGATTAAAGGTATTTGCTTATAGTTACATACATCAAATGAAATTATGAAAAATTACTAGTCCTATTTACAGACGTTGTTTATCATAACCTTCTCCGCAACGTACTGCATTCAGAGGACGAGGTGAGGAAAAGAATACGCAAAAAAAGAAAATACGAGTTTAGCTACGGACCCCATCAAAAAAGGCTTGTAAAAGGATCTCATAATTTCATGAACGCTGACTGGGATATGAATATTCATTTATCAATTTACGACCTAAATTAAATCCCAGTGAACAAGAATTTTCTCAAAAATCCGTTTAATATGCTGTTATTTATGAGTTATAGTAAAATGGTATCAAAAAAGAACCAATATGATATAAAGACCTCACTCTGAAGTGGCGGTAAAGAGGACTTTCTGTTGGTGATTACGAATGGTCGAATTGAAGAAGAGACAAGAGCTAAACTAGTCCCGACCGAAGAGGAAAACTGCGAGTTATTAAAGTGAAGCTGATAAGCGCGCTAAGGTATACAGTGTTTGAGTGAAATAAATTTATTTAAGGAATATTTATATCAGTAATTATACTTAACATTATTACCGTAGTTGAACTCTGTTTTTTTGTACCAAAGATATATTTCTTCAGTTGTGGCGCTTGCGTTAAAGTTAGTTGGGAGTCTGGTTTTTGCGTAATTATTTAACTGTGCAAACCTGGTCTTGCCGATGAACAATGTTTTTACATATTTTTGAATAAATTCATGTATGGGTTTTAGTGCTATTCTATATATGTTCAGCTGCATGGAGATACATTTAACATGCTGTGGCAAACTAATGGTAATTTGTTCCAAAAATACAGTGAGGTGTTCGGTCAAAAAATCTTGACCTGCTGTATCACTCGTGTCATAGTCTGGTACTTCTTGTTGCACCCCATAAACTGTTCAAATATTACTAGTGAATAACAATCTGAAATATACAATAATGATTCCGTACTGTAGCATACTTTAACATAAGACACAGAAACAGTGTTATAAGAGGTTACTCTGATCCATATGCCATCGATTATTTAGAAGGGGTAGACATTGTTCCCCGTCCAAATCACATCATAGTACTTTGTTTATGCTTTTACCTAACTCTTATAGGACCCACAAACCGATAGATTTATTCTCCTGAATCACAATACCATTGTTTCGACATCAGGCTGCCCTGAAAGTATGATTGAAAACCTCAAACTTCATACAATATTTTGCCTTGAGAATAAACAATACATTTTGTACACCGATTTATGCGTTTGCAAAGTATGGGAAGATAGAACCTGTTGTTGTATCAGCACTCTCCGGTACGGTTAAATGAAGGGTTTGACATAAATAAATTGGCGATAGTGTCATTCAAATAAGTCTTATGCAGATATAAATAAACTTTGAGTTGAAAATCTAAATGTTAAAGATTTTTGAATCAGAGTCTAGTCTATGCCGAAAACACACAAAACTGCTCCTACTTCTATTTTGAGTGATACTGGTGGGGAGTGGGTGTACTAAATGAGGTTTTGAAAAGGTTGCGAAGATTCGCTTAAGAAAGTAATATTTATGTACTTGTACACAGCTGAGCATTGATTCTGGGATGCTTACATCATGTGACATTTCAGAATACTTATAAAAGAAATGGGCTAAACGTATTAGCGAAGAGACAACGGAGTAACTCATAAAAAGCTGTTTCTATAAAAACAAATCTTCCTGTTACGATTTCAAAAATAATTTCAGGTCATACGACTTCAGCAGTTTGTTACAAAAGATAGATCTACCAATTAAGTTCACTTAGCAACAGTCAGTTGGAATAGGTAAATACAATCAATATTCATCAGGAAAACACAGTTGTGTTAGTATTAGTAAGACAACTCACCAACATGCATGATATTTGGATAGTATATATTAGTGTCTTAATCTACTCAATAGATTTTCTGATATCATCTTATTTCGACCTGTAACATTGTAGCTGACTGACTGACTGCCTTGTAACTGTGATAATCACTAAATGAATGTGTAGAGGCTAAATTATTTCATGCCGAATCTTGTAATCCACATATACTCCGTCGCAGGTTTGTTTTCGATTTTCAAGTGAGTGTTTTTCATTGACCACTTACATTTCTTGATGAGTCTTGCAATTAAATATACCCAGTTCCTATTTTTAGGCACACTTTTCCGATGACGTTTCCCACATCTGAACAAAGAATTACCAATGCCTTGCAAAAGATAACTCAAAAGTTGGGGAAATGCTTTCTGTAAGTGTTGTTAAGTTGCAGTTATTTTCAGCGAAAATGTTGAAGATAAATGTGGCTATATTAAATCTAAGGATGAAACCTGGTTCTACAACACCACACAAGACATCATAACTAACTTCCAGAAGAATTCATACGAAGCCTGGTCAGCTGTCCTCTTACAGTACGACATAAATAACAAAGAAGCCCTGCTGGAAGAAGCTAACAAAACACTAAACCATACCAAATCCTGGTAAATAATTTCAATATACGTTTACATATTGGTGCAGGAGACCGTCTGGAGATCCTAAAAAAGATATCAGAGCTCATATTTTGCCTCTCAGCAGGTCTTATATGGAAAATATGTCTTCCTATTCCCAAGAACTAGATTTAGAAATTAGTAAACGCTCAGGGGAATTGAGGAGATTACGTCAAACTCTTAATGACGAAGTAATTGAATTTCGATCTTTGGCAGAAAAATTACAAAACGTACGTAGCTTCTTTTATTCATGGGACAAATGTTTATATGTTTAAATGCTGTATCGACCCATGAATTACTTAATGTGACCCTTAAGAGAAATGGGAGTTTCATTTAGTAACAATGACTATTTACTGATCACTCGAACGATGAGCACCTAAACTACGAATGTAAACGGTGCAATTTAATAACAACCTTTTCGAAATCTGCAGTTCCCCTGATGCATGAGTTGAAAGGGTTTTTCAAAAATAGAACTAAGGTTTTAATAAAAGTGTAAAATGAGTTGTGGAAACGAAAACCTGCTTATTTTTACTGAGTAGGCGAGTTATATTATCACATACAGGATGCAGAATGACTAATTCCGAAATATTTGCATGCTTATTTCGTTACCTGTATTGCAATCCTTATTATATCAATTAAAACCTCTTCAAAGTATATCAGTTTAGTTAACTAACTCTAAATGATAAATCTATATTAAACTGATACAATGCGAACATCAGATCGAAATACGAAGCATTGAAAACAATTTTCCAGAAATACTCTTAAGAATGCGAAATTTGGCATATAAACAAATAATAGAAATCACCAGTAGTGAAATTGCTGAAATTAACAAATGTGATATAAATAAATACACGGCAGATAAAAAATCTAGCAATTTTTCTAGGTCCTCACCTAGCACACAAACAATTATGCATACTGTTCGGATCTGATAGGATTTGATTATAACCAATTCGGTTTCTTGTGTTGTCACAGGTATGAGGGCTGATTTCACTTTCCGGCTGCCTACACTGTGAAAGGGTGCTTCTTGAGGAACCTGAAAAAGAAGTTGGATTAGTGTTGGTCTTAGAGACCTGGGAGCGTGACTGCAGAGCCCAACGGACAACTGCTTGATGCCGGTCACGCACAGCATTGTTATGGTAAGTTTGTAGTGTTAGCTCCACTCCTCAAGCGGAGTGGTATGACGACCTGAACTGATGTACTTACGTACGAAGTTCTGCGTTGTAACTGTCTGTCAAATGGCCTTACCACCGGAGACAGAAATCTGTGGGGTGAGGTGAGATGTGGAATTTTTAGGGTTGGTCTTTCCTAACCCATTCCTTCCGTTGTGATGAGGCAGCATCACTTCAGATGCCGGTTGTCCGAAAGAAACACCTTACTGCTGTCACACTCCCCTACAGTCGGTAGCACGACTTTGCCCTCACACCCTGAGTTGCTGCTTTTAGTCCTACTGTTCTTGAATCGACCTGCTTAGCATGGTAGGACCTAGGGGAACATATGTTCTAGTCAATGTGGCTTGGTTGGGTCATCACGACAGGCATGCCCGACCACTACACCAAGGTAGCAGCTACTGAATTATACTTCTTGAATAACATCTTCGAACTCTAATCATCTCCATTACCGTTAATACCTCTACCACCATGTGATCTGAAATGACAATTGCGTTTCTGTGCTAATGTGGTATAGCAACCTTAACTAGTGTATGTACGAAGTTCTACGTTGTAACTGACTGACGGACTGTTCGGATCTATCAGCAACAACATCTTGGATTGCTGTCGTGTTTTTAATTCATCCGTCCTCAGGTTTTACACAGCCATAGTACCGAATCCCTACCGTAGCTGCTACCTTGACGTGGTGGTCGGGCTAGCCTCTCGTGATGACCCAACCGAGCCATATTGGCTGGAACATATGTTCCTGAAGGTTCTACCATGCCAGGCAGGTCGATTGGGGAACGATGAGACTAAAAGCAGCTACTCCAGGTCTGAGCATGAAGTCGTACTGCTGACTGCAGAGGGGTGTGACAGAAGTAAGGTGTTTCCCTCGGACAACCAGCATCTGCAGCGATGCTGCCTTCTCACAAGGAAGGAAGGGTTAGAAAAGGTCGATCCTTAAAATGTCACACCTCACCCTACCTCATGGATTTCCGTCTCCGTCGGTAAGGGTGCCCAATAATGGCTTTTAAGAGCGAAGCTAATACTCAAAAATCTTTTCATAAAAAGGCCATGCGTGACCGGCCTCAATCAGTTGTCCCTTGGGCCCTGCGGTCACTCTCCCAGGTCTTTAAGACCAATACTAATCTACTTTACTTTTCAGGTTCCTCAAGAAACACCCTTCCACGGTGTGGGCAGCCGGGAAGTGACAACCACCCTCATACCCGTGACAGCACGCGAGACCACATTGGTCATAATCATATCCTTCCTGCACCCCCTAACATCTCCCTTATCTCCACGACTAACTCTTCTCACATTCCTTTATCACACTGCACCGCTAATGAAAACGATTCGAGTTCACGAAACGTCATTTCTGGTCTCTTGAAGCCACGTTCTAGACTACATGTTGGAGCTTTTAATGTACGGACATTGTGTCAAATAGGGCAACAGGCTTCCTTAGCTAGGACTTTAGAATCTCGTGCCATCGATGTATGCTGCGTCTCGGAAACGCGCATACAGGATCCTAGTAAAATTATTAATCTGATTTCACCTTGTCAAAATAAAGAAGCAGCTCGATTTACTCTTCGTGTATCTGGAAACCCTGATGCTGCTTCCCGGGGTCTCGCCGGCGAGAGCTGAACAATCTCTCCTAGACTGGATCCCAGTAGATAGTCACTTGTGCGCCGTCCGACTAAACGGGACAGTAAGGACTCGGAAAGATAGGGACACTTGCCGTTGCCTCTTCGTCGTATCTGCTTACGCTCCTACTGACTGCAGTTCAAACGATGTAAAAGATGAGTTTTACAGAAGGCTTTCGGACCTCCAAAAAGTTAAGCGCTCTGATATAGTTATAATGGCTGGTGACTTTAATGCTCAAGTAGGTAGACTAAGTGAAAATGAAAGACACCTAGGTGGATGTTATGGTGTCGTGGCTCAGAGAACAGACAATGGCGACCGTCTGTTGCAACTATGCTTAGATAACCGCCTATTCTTAGCAAACACTAACTTTAGGCATAAGGAAAAGCATCTGTTGACCTGGCGACCCCCGAAGTCGTCTCAACGTTGGACTCAACTAGATCACATTGCCATCAGCCACCGATGGAGGGGTTCGATAGAGGACTGTCGCTCGTTCTGGGGCACATGTTTAGATTCAGATCATGCCCTAATGCGAGCGCGTATTTGTTTGAGGCTTACTGGGCGTAGGAAAGACACCGTAAGGAAGCCTCTTAGGGCTTTACTTAATGATAATAAAGCTAGGAATATATTTCAGGAACAACTGGAAAGAGAGTTAAGCAACCATGTAAGCGATTCCCATCCGGAAGCAGGTTGGTATGATATCCAAAAGGCTGTGAAAACAGCAGTGATATCTGCTAGTAAGGTAGACCATAAGGCTGGGATGAAGCCGTGGATCTCAATAGCATCTACCGAACTGATGGATGCTCGAAAATTCATCCCGCCTGGCTCTGAGTGCGATGAGGAGCGGAATCAGCTTAGACGTAGGCTGATAAAAAGCTTACACAATGACGGAGAACAGTGGTGGGTGGCGAAAGCAAAAGCGATGGAAAAGGTAGCGGCGATAGGCAACACTAGACAACTTTTCCGCCTTATCAAAGAAACCGGTATTAGGAACCCGAATGTGAGTGAAACTATCTCGGAAAAGGATGGTCTTATTATCCATTCTCAATCTAGGAGACTGGACCGATGGACAGAACACTTTAGGGATCAGTTCAACTGGCCTCGAGCCACTCTTCGGTTACCCATGATCTCCAGTCATCCTGAATGACAAATCGACGTAAGTCCCCCTAGTCTTTACGAAGTTGAGAAAGCGTTAGGAAATCTGAAGCGAGGGCGAGCTGCAGGTCCTGATAGACTGACCCCTGAGATATTTAAGGATGGTGGTCCAGTTTTAGCTGCTAGGTTGACTGAGACTTAGGTAGAATCTGGGAATTGGACGTAATCCCATCCGACTGGTCTCAATCACTGATTGTCCCAATCTATAAGAAAGGACAAAAGTCTTGTGACAATCACAGGGGAATAAGTCTAACTAATATAGTATCTAAAATATTGGTCTCAATAATACTTCGACGCTTAACGAATGCTCGTGAAGAGCAGACTAGAGAAAACCAGGCTGGTTTTCGATCTGGACGTGGTTGTATAGACCACATCTTCACACTACGACAGGTCCTGGAACACAGACACACGTTTAGGCATCCTACAATATTTGTTTTCCTGGACCTTAAGGCGGTATTTGACTCAGTGGGTCGTGAGGCTCTGTGGCAGTGTCTGTCATTAAAAGGTGTACGAAAAAAGTACATTAACCTTATACAAACTCTCTACTCGAACACCATTGGTCGAGTGAGAGCTTATGACGAACTGTCAACGGAATTCTTTACATCAAGTGGTGTCCGTCAGGGATGTCCACTTTCTCCATTCTTGTTCATTTTCGTCATAGACATGCTCCTACAAATAACCTTATCCTCGTCTGAATTTTCAGGAGCAGACCTTTTACCAGGTGGCTCGCTTATTGACTTAGAATATGCCGATGACATAGTCCTACTTGGTGAAGACGCTGACAAAGTGCAGAGTCTTCTGATTACCTTAAGCAACAATGCAAGCATGTTCTGGATGTGGTTTTCCCCCTTTAAATGCAAAATATTGCTTCAAAAATGGGTTGCATCGGCACCTGAGCTAGTGATAGGGAGTGAAGTAGTCGAACGTGTGGGCCGCTTCACTTATCTTGGGAGTTTCATCAGTGCTGATGGCCTGGTGACTGACGAAATCTCAGCTGGGATACAGAAGGCTCGATTGGCTTTTGCCAACCTGCGTCACTTATGGCGTAGGCGAGATATCCGTTTGCTGACTAAAGGACGAGTGTTCTGCGCAGTAGTTCTCTCCGTCTTACTTTATGGCTGTGAAACATGGCCAGTGAGAGTAGAAGATATTCGTAGGTTCCTAGTTTTCGATCATAGGTGTCTTCGAAGCATAGCTCGTATATCGTGGGACACCCGAGTGAGCAACGTTGTTATTAGGAAACGGGTGCTAGGTAAGAATGCAGATCAATATATGAAGTAGTGAAACTCTATCAGTTGAGGTGGTTGCGACACGTGTTACGTATGCCTGACCACGGACTGGCTTGTCGAGCTATATTTTGCGGCGTAGGAATAGGTTGGAAGAAAGCTAGGGGCGGCCGAACCAAAACATGGCAGAAATCCATGAAGTCATTGACGAGTGGACTGAGTCATGTCAGTAGTTGTCGACTACCTGGTTGGGGTCCGCGAGATGATAATAATCGATGATTAGATACGCTGAATGACATGGCTCAAAACCGTTTGGAATGGCGCCGGTGCATTTAGTCTTTGTGTTCTGTCAAATCTTAATCTTCTGGATTCTTCAACCGCTGGAGTTTTGACTTTCTAAACTTTTCCCATTGAATCATACTTCTTGAATAATATCTTCTAATCCTAACCCTTCCGATTACTTCTAATACCTTTACTACCTCTTCTACTATTGGATTTGAATTGACAATTATATCTCTGTGCTGATGTGGTATGGCAACGTGAACTGATGTACTTACGTACGAAGTTCTACGTTGCATCTGACTGACTGAGTACCGAATCAGTAACATTAAAACACGTGTGGTGCGCGCTACTTATAAGTAGTATATGACGCGAGTATAAACCTAATGTCTGGCAGCAGAATATGGGGGAAGATCAAGAAAGAAAGAGCGGGAACACAATGATGTGCGTGACCGGCCTCAAGCAGTTGTCCGTTGGGCTCTACAGTCACGCTCCCAGGTCTCTAAGACCAACACTAATCCAACTTCTTTTTCAGGTTCCTCAAGAAGCACCCTTTCACAGTGTAGGCAGCCGGAAAGTGAAATCAGCCCTCATACCCGTAACAGCACACGAGACTAAGTTGGCCATAATTAAATCCTTCCTATACATCTTACTAACTCTCTTACCCCTACGACTAACCCTTTCCGTATATCTTTATCACCTCGTGTCGCTAATGCTAAAGATTCGAGTTCATCGGCTTATAGCTTTATCTTCAATCTATCACCACAAATCTGTGATTTAACTTGACAGTTTTGTCTCTCTGTACCAATGCGGTCACTTCGCTTCATGGTTTTGACCAAGCTGATATTAAACTGTGTGTATGCTAGGATTGAGGTAAAATTTTTGCAAGTAAACACCAGCAAATTCTGTCTATTGTCTGATTTACTGATTTAACGTAGTAATGGAATAACTCTAGAAACTGATAACTTAGCAATTCCTATAAATATAGTCAAGTGTTATAAAATAAAATCATTCAAATATCATCATTTTTTTATTATGAACCATTGAATACATTCCCTTCTTCATACAAAGCATATATTGACGATATTTATGTTACACGTCTCAATATTTTGATATGTACTGTTTTTTCCCATTTTCAGTTGTGCAAGTCTACTGAAGATTGTGGAGCGTGTACTCCTGAGTCTCAACAACCATCGAAGTTGATGCTAAATTAAGAAAAAAAATAAAAAAACCGAAAAGTTTAACTTGTGTTCATCTTTTTGACTGTTTTATTTCCTTAATTATTTTTAGGGTTATAGACTTTCTTTGTTAATTTATCTGTAACACTTTTTATTTAATTTATTATTGTATCCGTTTATGTTGATCAAAATAAAATAATTTATTTTATATAGCTTACTGTTGTCTGCTTTAGCCACGGATTCTTCGGTATGTTAAATAAAGTGAGTGAAGTTCTATGTTTATATTATAATAATAATGATAGTTTTCAATGCTTGAATCTGATGATAATATGAATATACTAGTAATTGTCCAGTAAGTTGGTAGTATAAGAAATGTTACAGAGTGGATACCCACTGTTAATTTCATCTTGCACAGATACTCGTACAATGGTCAAACGGTCTTTTAGACTGTCCAGCTCCAGATATCACACCAGTTCCTATTATAAGATTGTTTAGGGTTATTAAAACTGTGAAAATCAATGTACTAAAGAATCGTTTTATGGAGCTGTGAATTACTACCATCAACAGTTTGACCCTTGATTTATCAAATTAAACTTGTAGACATTTACTACGTATCCTCTCTCCTTTACTTCATTTTACGTATATTACATGCTCTATCCCTATCCAATATACTAGTAGAACTGTTCGATTATACATTAACAAGATCTTGGTATGTTATCTAGAATCTAGAGTTGATATCGATAGCCTACGTCTATTGTGACTAGTCCATTACTGCAAGGGCAAGGCAAAGGCTGCCACTGAAGGGTGCCTCATGATGGAAGCTTCGTCAGGGTGGTGCACAGTAGGTTCCTTTGGCGATTTTCTGAGATCAATAGAGAACTTTTCGGGAAAGGTCAATTGGAACGTGCTTCATACGAGCTGTGATTCAAACGATCATGCACATAGGATGCATGTTCCTTAGAGGCGCCAAGGATTACCCACCGTGAACGGGGTTCTAAAATGGTAGAAAAGAGAGATAGAGAAGAAGGCAGCAGCGTGGTAAGCGTATGTATATATAACCAAAGCACTACTTAACCTGTCATGTGTAGATAGTGCAGATGATGCGTGCTGTTGACAGGTACGTGAGGATTAGGTCTCAGATGTAGCTAGCGTGTGGTCGGAAGGAGACGTAGAGATTCGGCTAGTGGGTTGGACGGTTCAGGAATAGTCTCAGATTATCAGGGCACTGTCATTGACGTGTGCTGGCTTGAGATGATTAATGCTGGCTATCTTGACACGGCCGTGTCAATCAACCTCGAAGGTCTTTTCGTGACAGGAAATCACGTGAAAAGATCTTTTGTAAGTCTGTTGCAGAGGTTTGCGCACCGAATCTACTCGTAAGAAAGCATGTGAACAGGAAGACTAATCTCGAGGAAGAGCGACCTGTCAATGTTGTATTCGAGTTGACACCGGAGGCAGTGTTTGCATGTATTCAGACAATCGTTGGACGAAGTCTGCTCTACCGAAATTATTACTGCCTCGTGGTGTGAAAAATTCCCCAGGCAGACGCAATATAGTGCCGGTTGCAAGTTCAGTGACGGAACATTGAACATCTGACTTTAAGCTCGTTCTGATATCTGAGAGGACGAGCGGTGAAGTTCGGTATTAACTGTTGTTTTCTTGTGCTGGAAGAGCAATTTCGAGTTGGTATCGGAATCGCCCAACTAAAACACTCGAAGCTCGGTGGTAGGCTATAGAGAGTATTCGCTCCGTACTAAGCCGCCGAGTTAGCGAGAAGACCCTAGTTGTCGTCCTCGGTCAGTTGTGACAGTCGAGGGACAACCGCACAGCGCTGTCCATCCTTCTACGAAGCGGTTAGCAACATTCTCCTCCGTAACAGAAGTGACGGCAATAGCTGAGGGCCATCTTATGAAAGGATTGATGAACGTTTGTGATCATACCCATGCGACGGCGGCAACAGTCCTACAAGGTCAGTATCTAAGAATCACGGTTCTTCTGCTCCTTTAAAAAAAAGTATAGATTCATTATTCCTTATTTCGTGTTTCATTCTACATAAACAAATGTTCGTTTACTTCCTTTTGCAATGTATATGTAGTTGGAAGATATTGTTTGTTTATTCGAAAGCAGTTTGTATTAGAAAGTCTAGTGTTTACCTCCTCAATATGTAGTAGAAAATACTAAATCTATCACATAGTATACTTTTTTCAATGCCTATTAGTTATTGAAGAGAGTAAGGACAAGGTTTTAACAGAATAAGATGAATTCATGTTATTTCGTTTGGTTTTCGTCAGCTGCTTACAACCGGTAATATTTAAAATGATAATTACAAGCTGGGTGTAAATTACTTATATGAAAGAGTTTAGTTGGAAGTTGCTATGATCACATATCAGTAAAATATAGCAAGATTGTGAATAATTTTATATGAGGTATATATTTACGAAGAAATTATTTGTATGAAGTTTATCAGTTAATTTGACCTTTCCCATAGAGGGGCATGTGTTTGGTAGATTTGCTAATCTCAATCGACTGCGTTGCCTGATAACATGTAGCTTTAATTTTTAATTTACTTTTATAAAAATAATATACCTACAATTATGTTTCAGAATTAACCTTTGGGTTACTAAATTTAGTCCATGTCATTATGTGACTTTTGTAAGCTACATATCACGGTGATAATATGTACACTCATAGAAATTGTGTATGTACACACAAAACAAATTATTTCGGTTTTTGATACTATGGTCATTCAAATGTTGGTCAATAAATATAGAGGAAAACTTCAGAAGGAGTTATTTCACTTACTTCTCTCTTGAATTGATGTGTCCATATATTCTTCAATTAAATTCGTCCAAGTAATATGCTTGGAAATTGAAAGACCGAAATCTTGATATCTTTGTCTTGCCAGTGCTTCATGATAACAATGAAATCCTCCATAATCCGGTCGACGGCGGTGTGATTCTATTCCAAGTAGATTAGCTCGTTTACGTGGTATCTTTTGTTGTTCCAAATCTAAATAAAGCGCTTCTGATTCTCCAAATGTTCTCTCTTTACGCCTATACATTCTTTCACAGTCAAAAAAGATACCAAGAAAAATATTCAGTAAAATAGCCTTAACAGTGATTCAGAAGTTTTTCATATTTCGGCTATACGGTACAATCTAATAATCCGTAATTTCATGTTCTAAGATTTCCAATTTTCGGCCAATTAGTTAATGTTTGGGATTGGTTAGTGATCAAACTGACAAGTTGATTGTAGCAGCTGCCTGTGCAGCAGTAGATCTCAACATACACAAGGGAAAAAGCATGATCACTGTATACAATATAACACACACTAACCAAATAACACATTGTTTTGCAAAGTGTGGAAACCTTTACATACTTGGGGAGCATTATTGATCAACAAGACGGATCTAATGCAAGTGTGAAAGCACGGATTAGCAAAGCAAAGGCATCCGGAACTTAAAAGAACTGTTAATCAACAGAAAAGTCAGAATTTTCAATACGGACGTCACGATGGTTCAATTGCACAGGGTGGACATGTAGTAGTATTACGAAAGTTATCGCTCAAAGGATACAGGTATTTATACACAGTTGTCTGACCACGATGCTATGGATCGGTTGGTCAGACACCATCAGGAACAGCCTACTATGACAGAGAACAAATCAGCTTCGAGCTGAGGAAGAAATTAGGAAGAAGCGCTGGAAATGGATAGATTATGTCGCGGAAATCACCGAATTCGATCATGAATCAGGCTGGAACTTGGAGTCTTCAAAGTAGAAAGGAAAGAGGAAGACTAAGGGACACGTCGCGCTTAGAATTGGAAGGAACTGCATGTTTAATATACACTATTTTTAGTTAAGTATCCTTGACATGTATCCAGACTTAATAAACCTGTTTTAAAATTATTTATTCCATTTTTTTATGCACAGAAACATTTTGAAATAATATCTTTTTAAAAATTATAAAAGCGAATAACTTTCATACTATTTGATTTTCAAGTAATAAGAATCAATTATCTTTCAAGTATTTACTATATTATGTACACGATTAACTTTTCTTTCAACCAATATATATCAACACAGCATATAAGTGTATTGTGTTTTTGAGTCAGTCAGTCAGTCAGTTACAACGTAGAACTTCTTACCTATGTACATCAGTTCAGGTTGTGTCACCTTTAAAACTTTTTGATGATCACTTTCGATGTCTGCTTTCCAAATTGATTAATTCTTTCGGTGACACTTTATCTTATTGATGGATGATAGATATTTCTATACAGATTATCAAGTAGCATTTTTCCTTTAACATTTAGGGAATTTTCTTTATTTCTTAGTCACAGATTTTGAAGTTGGTGTCTGATCATATACACTATGTGATATGATATCGGTCATTGAGAAAACCAATTTTTTTTTCATTTTTAGATTTTGTTTCGATCGATAGTGAACTTTTGAGTTCGACAAGTAATTTTCATTCTAATATTCGTCTAAAATATGGCTTCCATGTAAAGTACACGCAATGGTTTTAATGCTGAAATCCTCTTTTTTCAAGAATAAGTTTTGGCAATAAACCTTCTTGCTTATGTAATAGGATAACAATTGCTTCCAGCACTTTGCCAAACCAGTGTAAAGTATTTTCTGAATCTAAATTCAATTCGTATTTGATGAATTTTTTTGACGGCTTTTCATCGGTTTTTTCTTTAGTTTATGCGGATTTTGTTAAATCACTTGATGAGTATATGATGAATTAATTGGCAAAGTTTCTACTAATTTTGAAAAATATGTTTTAGTTAATGAAGGCTCAACCTGAATTTCTCAAGGTTTCAGTGTTTGTTTTCTATGCTTGAAGTCCATTTAATCTAATTATTTATTCATTTCTACTATTCCTTTTTTAGTGTTCTAATTTAGCTATATGATCAACCCAATCCATCTACTGTTCTAGCCAGAAGAATAAATTCTGAATTTTACCGTTTAATTTGTCTTGATGTTGTACATGAACAGAAAATTATCAGATTCATAAACGACGGAGTTCCATTGAGGTTTTCTTTCTCAACACCCTTATCTTAGGCGCTTTCTGTACAAATGTAGGTGGAAATAATTGCGGTTGTATTGGAGAAAAAGTTGTTTTTACTAATGGCTGTTTATTTCTATTTAGCCTACTATGTTTTACAAAACAGGAAGTACTTATTGTACTGTCGATTAGATTATCTACTGTGCTTTTCAGAGGATGCTGCCTGCTATTCATTAAATTTTCATACTTTGTCAAGAAGCATTAGCCTTCATTTCCATTGACTTCCTTTTCATTTGATACTTTATGTTGATTAAAATTATTTCTCTTGCTAATTAACATCATGATTACTTCATTAGCGATTATATTTTTACAAAAATAAAATAACATCAGTCAATGTCAATATCTTAAACTTTTTGAAATAGTTGATGTATTTTTTAGTTTAACTTGTACTGTTAACCGTAAAACAGTTGTGTCGGTATGAAGTATTCCATGGAAATATTAAATCTTCTGTAATATTATAACAAGAATCGAATAAAAGCAGTCCCAATTACACTGAGTCATTCAGAAACTTTTATCTAGCAGTTAAACGATACTGGTCGTTATACGTTGTGAGTAGACCCTGTTAGATAAAAACATTCAATACAACTGTAAATAACTGGTTTACACAAAATCGATTCATGGCTCTTAACTGATGATATAATATAATAAATTATTAGTCTGTAAATTAATGCTAAGTTTATACATGTCAAAACAAATGCTTACTTCTCTAACGTCATAATATTATCACCATTTCCCGATGACCTCTCTGAATCGTGATAAGCCGACCTTAGACTTTCCGCACATAAAGACGGAAAGGATGCTTTTGTGGATTCTGTTATTGACTTCGCCTTAAAATCTTTGGGTTCTTGCATAGATTCTTCTGTTTTTATTTGGTTTTTTGTAGTTCTTCTACGAGTTAGTAACCTGGGTTGTTGTCCAAGCGAATATGCTTTTGTTGTGTGTTTTTCTAAAATATCACTTTTATTATATTTACTTGGTGATGTATCTGAATTTTCACGCTTAATTTTGTCTCTAGAAGAATCCGACAATCCAACATCTTTCTCATTCAATGATGAATATCCTGCTGTTTGCAAGATTCCATTAGGTATTTCCTTGCGCTTTGTTTGTCCCCATTTGTTTAAGGTGAATAGGTCTTCTGTTCGAAATTCTGTTTTAATTTGCTGTTTTCTATTTAATTCATCTACTTTCTTTCCTTTAAATAATCCATCTGTATTCAAGTCGAATTTCCTGCTTCGATCACTTGCTTCCTAGATTGAGTTAATTTATTTAATTTTATTTATTAATATTATTAAAATTCAAAAACTTTTAATGTCAAACTCAAAAATGATTCTATACTGTTTCTCTTGAAAAACTTATTGATGATTAAGATAATCAACTGGAAAATTACTACTGATAAATATATAATCAATGATAGATTTGAGAGAGAAAAAAATTATTTTCACAAAAAATAAATCATCATATGTGAATATAAAAATTTATCTATATTTTAATTTCTGAATGATGGAATTATTTGCAATTTATGGAAGAAAAATGAAGAATTTTCTGAACTGATAACGGGAAATAATTTCCTTTTTGGGAGGCTATTTACCATAATCATAAATAGATAGATGGATGAGTCGATCAATAAATCGATCGCATTAGTGTAGTTGGTTCATTTTCAAAGAATCGCCTCTAACTTTGACTTTTAGATGTTTTTTCTTTGAAAATTATCTTTTTCGTTTATTGAAAAGGTGTAAGTCCTTTTCAACATGAAATTCTAACTTTCCAAATATTTATAATAATTAATCAGGAATGATGATTTCAAAATTGAAATAAAATCATATTTGATCACTTCGAGATGCATATAGATATGAAGTGAAAAGATTTTTTTTTACTTCTCTTCATAAACATTTTCAAAAAAAATCAGAATTATTTTTTTTCAATATGGTTGTAATGTTCGAGTAAATGCAAAATTAATTTACAATTACCTGTGGCTTACTAACTGATTTAAATGCATTCTATGTAGAAAGAATTGAAAAATAAAAAAATAATGAAAAAGCGAAACAAGAGAAGTCATCAAAACCTTTTTTTTCTCAATAAAACAACTATTCATAAGTTATTAAAGCATATACCTGACTATAATACTTATTACATGAATACACACATGTATTGATACAATTAGAAGTCAATAACTTTCTGTGCAATCATGGAATTATTTGAATTTTTTAAATTGTCCAACAATTAGTAACCCAAAATGAAGTTCGAGGTTTTTATTCTCATAAATACAAGTTGAATAAACTTACTTTTATTTCTGTACTTGACAGTACTATGGAGATATCACTAAAAACTTTCCAAACTTTCCTATTCTCATCTAAAGGTTTGTAGCGTTCTGTAATTTAGGGGATTTCTTGTAGTTTTAGTATAGGATATGATAAATGGTAAAAGTGTTTAATTGTCTTCAGACTGACATGAAGTCTCTCGTCAGAATGTATATTCTGTCAAAGACGAACGAAAAGTAAATGGTCGTCGATAAACAGAGCTGAGCAAATTTCACAAATTAACAATTTCATAACCTTGAAAAGGTTAAGATTAAACCTTAGAATCAGTGATAATGAATTAGTAAGACGTAAGTGTTATAGTCTTCGTACAAACCCTTTATTCACCTAAAAGATTTAGCTTAGTATTATCTTTTGGGAAATATGATTCAAGTTTTAACAAGAAAGTCTACCAGATTATTACAGACGACAAACTATTGACCGTTAATAGAACCAACCATCAATGGAAATAGCAGTGGTAAATAATTTTAGTAACTGATGAATTACGGTTTTTTCTAAATATGCCTGTGATTTGATGAGTTGGCTTGATTCAACGGTGAAAAAGCTACCTATTCATAATGGTTTTAAGTACCAAAATGACAAGATACCACTGTATTAGCCTACTTTTTAATCAGGTAAATGTTTTTCGAATACAAGCATTGACTAGCGCTACTACATGATTTAAACAATCCTATCAGTTGTTCTATGTTTTTGTAGATCAGTCGACAAAAATGATCTAGCTTTTTTTTTCTAAGTTAATTTCGGTATGGTTTTAAAATGTTTACAAGATTTTTCCTTTTTTTTTCCTAAATAGTCTTAATCCACAATCACATGTCGTGTTCCTTTTGGATATCGTTTCATTTTATGCAGTTTTATCGTAAAGATATACACATAAAACAAACTAAGACCTACTTTAAGCATTCTAACATGTTCATCCACATTCACATTGAAGTTACGTAAAATGGAAAGTGCAGACAATGCTTGAACAAATGCATTTTCTTTAGTCTTTTGAATAAAATTTTCACTTTCTTTTAAAAAATTATACCATTTTAAAAAATGCTGTTCAGCTTGTTTATGAATATGTCTTTTACATTTATCATCCAGTTCGTATTGTCTGTAGTTAACGAAAAAAAATAATTCAACACCTCAATGAGTTAAGGATATCTATCACGTCATCTGAAGATGGATTTAAATTACAAAAAACTTACCTGATAAATGTTACGTCAAAAGCTAAGACTTTAAAGCAGTGTACATCTAACTAATAAGAATTTCTTATTCATTTATTTTAATCTACGTCTACATTTTTTGAGATTGTTCCCATTTTTTGTGAATGAAAGAGGAAAAAAACTCGTATATTTGAGGAAACATTTACGTTAACGAATAACAACTGATAATATGTCACATAATTAATTTACATAAACCAACCGGTCATGCTGTTGCTCAAATGATTTCCCTGAAGATTTCATACTGATGTTCATGAGGAACCGATTGATTAATTTAAAATATTTTATAAGTACTTCATGGACAAAAACATAAACCTTTAACGATAATCGGGCTTCCATGCCACTCAGTACGAACTTACAAATTCATGGTAATGCGAGAGTTTGTAAAGTGATCGAATGTCTGTTTTTAAATAAATTACTAGCCAGTAGTTTTTTAAAAGAATTTTTATTTTATAATAATGAAATAAGCAATCTATAAATTTCAGATTTCATTTTCATTGAAACTGCAACTTCAATTATTCTAATAATACTTTATCTGTTTATCTATCTTTTAACACTTAAACAAAATAAATTTCGTATTACTGAAATTATGAATAAATTATTTTTAGACCACTATTAGCGTCTCGGAAGCACTGGATGGCCGTTTCGTCCTGTTATGGGACTCATCTCAGAGTTCTAGAGAGAAAACGTGACCAGTGGAGTTCAACCCTGTCGAGAGTAGACAGTAACTACTGAAGACAAATGTATGAGGTCTCAAAAAATCCCCAGATTGATCAGACTTAGATATTACCACCGTTGGATGCCGGCCCAGTGGTCCAGTGGTTAAGCGTTCGCGTGCAAGGCCGAAGGTCCTGAATCCTAGTCCTGCGAGTAGCAGAGAGTCGTGAATGCGCACCACTGACGAGTCACATACTAAGATGAAACAGCCACCCAGTACTTCCAGGTTTTTAATGGTGGTCTAACAATGAGTCATTCATGATTTCAATAACAAACAACAATCTCCATAACTATTGAAAAATCCCAGTTTAGCTTACGATACGTTTTAATTTTCTATAGACGAATTACTGTTAAATGATGACAGCTTAATGAGAGTAATGGACAACAATCTGATTCCATTCACGTAAGTCAATAAATTAGTAGAAGACTATTTTTTGTTATTGAGCGTAAAAAGTTAGTGTTTCAAGAAAAGTTTATGAATTTTAAAAAGGAATCAAATAGAAGTGGTGGGATAATATTTCAAAATCACAGTAGTTCTTTGCCATTGCTTCATAATTTTTTTAAATCAATAACACTGTCTCTAAATAACATTCTGGATGCGTGAATTAGACAAAGTGATGACGAACTCTCTCCTACTGAAGATTATCTGTTTAATTTAGTCATCGTACGCATTGAACAATAGTGTCAGTTTGATAAAAGGTTTATTTTACGGACTGACTTAAACTAATTAACCGTTTCAAATAAAGGAGCACTGATTTGATGGATGGGGAAACAAATATAAACCGGAAACTTTGGAAGTGATCAATCTTTACATCATCATATTCATTTTTAAAATATTTAATTTATGGTTGTTTGTTTTGATTAAAATCTTCCATTCTTCCACATATTACTGTTATTATGTTCTTTTCAGTTCATAGATAACTGTTAACTCAGAAGGAATCCGTTCCGCAAACTTGTTTTCCAAGGATCCTAATTATGTACAAATTTGTAATTTAGTAATTATGGTGTCTAGTGGGTTTATCGTGCATCGATATGGCTGCATATATTTCAATAATAATTATAATTAAAAAATAGTGCTAGTTATTTATATATGGTTTTCATGCCTTTTTGACTGATGTACATGTGACGCAAACGAAATAAATCGCTTTGTCCAACGTTGGTTATAGGATATACAGAAAACAATGTTAGCGAACTCAATCTTAGTTGGCATAATAAGCAGAAGAAAATTATGATAAATAATTTTCAGTCTCAACCTAATATGGAACTCTTTATTAGTGTGTACCAACAATTTAGCCAACAGCTGAAAACATTACTTTATGGTTTTGCAATGAATGCGTTACCTTTGGACCATTTACGTAACATTCTAAAAAATAGTTGGCATTTTCCAAATCGTATGAATTTGATTGATTGAAAATGAACTGGCAACTTATATGAAATTGAAATTGAAAGTAAATTAGTGTTGATATATTCTATTACAATATTTCTATTAATTTTTATTTAAATCAACTATTTTGCAAACTAATTAGTTGATTGATTGGTTAAGACATTTTAAAATATAGATAAAAACAATTTCACAGTTTCCCTGTTTTCATATAATGTAACAAATAAATAGATTATAAATCAAAATTTAATAAACTGGTCATTTTAGTTTAACTTTGGTTTTTACTTAACTTTGTAATGTTATAATTGATATTTCAACTTGACGTAAATCGCTCCAATCATGTATATTGTCTAAATGTTTGAGTAAAGTTTTTGTAATTGTCTCTTTATTCATAATTTTTGGTCTACATGGAAACCATGACATTTCAATAAGCATTCGTAAATATTCATCTTGATTCATTGACTAAGTAAAATAATTTTGTATAAGAAATGATAATGATGATATTAGCGATATTTTCGATTGTGAATCGACTATTATTTGTTTATAAAATGTATTTTATATCAATCTTTTTAATACAATCAAAATGTATAGAAGTGACAACCTTTGAGATAGGAGAGCCAGAGTTCATATGAACTGTTATCTAAATAGATTATTCCAAATGACGTTTGTTAGATTAACTGACTATTACCATATTTATATTTAATTTTGGAATTGAGCTGTCATCTGGCAAGTAGATTAATGGGACTGTGAAATCCTCAATAAATGAGTTGATTGGTACATGTTATTTACTTCCAGTTATACCATACTCCTATTATTGCCCAATGCATTGGAGTAGGTTAGTGAAGTGACGTGTAGAGCAGATAAAGACATAGAATCCGTTCATGAATCAACTGACTGTTGGATTGGTTCATGTTGAAAATATTGATCTTTGGATTCTGATTCAGCTGTCTGCGACTCTCTTGGCCCATTTGTAGAGTTTGAAACTAGAAAAAAAAATTTATTCTGTTCCTTTTCAATGATCCTGTAGTCAAGATCCATCAGTAACAAAAACTGACGTCACAATGCTTCACTATCAAATACAAAAATTTTATGTCAACCATAAACTAATACTATTGTAGTTCATTTCATTCACCTGCTACTAACTATACGATAAATAAACAAAAATATTCACACAGTAATCCATCTAAATCTATTTATTAAGACGAAAAGATAAAAATCTAGAACTTACAACTAACGGAATAGCTTCCAATTTAACAAGTTCATCTAGAAGGAAAAATACAAAAATTATTGTCTACTGTTTAGCTTCTATTTTATTAGTAAAATAAATTTATAATTTACGGTTAGTTTCCATCACTGAGTAGAGTAATCTAATGAACCTGGGATTAGATTACAGCTGTTTCTGCTTTGCTTGAGACTGTTTAGGTATAATCGGTGTAGTTGAACTATATTGAAGGTGAGAGTGATCTTAAGTTCAGCAACCTAAATATATATTTCGCTCTCTATGAAATTGGAAAGTTTCGGATTTTGTTATTGGTGATACATAAGCAAATGATTATATTTAACAACAGTATGTTTGCTGAGGTAGTCGTCATAAAACTAAGAATGATACTTAAATGAACGGAATATAAATAATTATGGTGTAATTAGGTAAAGAGTGATAACGTTTCGATAACCTGGATCGTAACAAAAGTTTAGTAGGTATGAGTTTTTGTAATTGACAATGAATAATGTCATGTGATTAGTTTTATTAGGTTCATCTCGTTTGACCTAACAACCATTAGCTTTATGTGTAAATAAATGTCATGTCTTGTTCTTCTCTCCCTTAGCCGCCTTTTTCGAATCTATTCGATTAGTATTAGATATCTGGGTAAGTGGTGTTCAGTAAAAGATATATTAATTACCTCAGTATTTGAAAGTTTTAAACCTTGTAAGTCGATGTGCAGTTTCAATTTGTTACCTTATAACTAACTTCAATATAATGTATTTGATGATTCTAACATATACGAACAATCCTTGAAGGTCATTTGTGACTTTTTATTCATAGCTCCAAGTTTTCAATCTTCATACCTAATTTTTCGTATCTGTAGAGTTATTTATATATAGTGAACTGGTACACAGTATACTCGCTTCCTGATTGACGGACAGATAACTTGTAAGGTCGCGAATTTGGACAAGCTTGTGTGATAGCGAGTTTTTGAAGATATTACTGAATTAAAAATGATCTAGAACTCAGAATCCCAAAACCTTACCCTCAAGAGAGCATCACTGATGAAATTCACTGTTTTTCTATTAGGCTCAGTGACTGCGTATTGTTACGAACTTTTTTCAATTTTTGGAAAAAACCCTGAGAGTAAGGTATTTCTCCCCTTACGTACATCAACAACGTATATCTCTAGGTATAAAGAGATACTCTATTTGCAAATCAGCCCTGAAATTTTTAAGTAATATCAACTTCGATTACCTGTGGACAGATAATATGATTTGAAAAATTTAACGTTGATACGTATGGTCAATGACTAACGAAATCCTAATTTACACTAAATTTTGATGTTACACTATTTCGTCCTCGTCTCTCAATTAAGCATATTTATGATAATTAGTGCTGAAATTCCGTTTACTTTAAGTTTGAAACGACTGGAATATTTATTAAGATGGATAGCCTGTTACCATATTCAAGAATATTTTATCATTTGTAAATTACATACAACTCTAATTAAAGTTAGTAAACAGTATTGAGTAAAATACTAAAATCAACTGTATTCTTACCTGGATCATCAAAATCAGCTTTATATCTTATCAAGGTGCGCTGTTGAAACTTTTCATCTTCTAGTTGCGTTGTTTCGTTTGATATATCAAGTGCTTGTTGTACTTTTGTGAAAATGTCTACCAGGCCAACTTCCTTTTTCCGAAAATTATCGGAGAAATAAAATATTATTATTGAGAAACTTACTTCACTTAGCCTATTACCTTTATTTACCTCCGTCAAACCACTGATAGGAAGCAACTCTTCGTTCATTATTTTATAATAATGTCTACTCTTCTCTTTTCCTTCTTGAATAATAACTTCAGGTGTTCGACAATTCCTGATTGTCAATAACTTGCGGGTTATACTTAATACACTTGACAGCTTGCAGACTGGCTTATGAAAAACATTTCTAGTAGAAACATCCCAAGTTAATTGTCGAGATTTCAGATCTGGTGCTTTAGCGAACTTAGTCGTATCTTCTGTAACACCTTCACGACCTTCATCCTTGTTGATCAAAACGAAATAGATAATAAATATTAGTTTGCATGAACAGCGAAAATTTGTGTAAGTAAATCAGCGTAAAGCTTGCAAATGCTAACTGCCAAAAATATTCTTGCAAGAATATTATTCAGACAAATCTATGGAACTCGGATGTGTAAATACTGCGAAAACACCGAATCGAAATCTCACACGTCCCTCTCCCTCTCCATCTTTTCATAATCAATGAGTGACAACATTTGTCTCGAATCCCGCTACTACACATCATCCGAAATAATGTAAACATTTGTCTTGATATTATCACAAATAGAAGTGAATTACGTAGACGATTTGTTCATTATTGTGTGAAAATTTCATTAGTCCTTTGTCTCATACACTTTTCAACTAATGACCGGAACATTTTTACTCTGCCTGAACCTACTCTGGTTCTACTGCCGGTCCCACCCCGCGTAAAGAAGGAGGGTTGAGGATGGAGTTGACGAATCCATCCCATAAAAATTAACTCGTTAAGACAACGCGAACGAGAAAAAATAAATCAATTCATTTTAACTCTGCCATGTGGTTTATAAGGTCTTCATCCAGAAGAGTTAGGATGGCTCAGGATGGAAACCGAGTTCTTTCGGAAGTAATGAGATCGATGCCTCTCTTGATACCCATAGCAATCACTCTTGCAGGTACATGGAGTGTTCAAATAACGTGATAGACTGAAAGACTATTCCAAGTTTGTAAGAAATGAAAAGATACAACCTAGAGGTGCTTGATATCAGTAAAATGCATTGGACGCAAGTAGGACCTCTGAGCCAACCCTCAGGAGAGCTGCTGTTATACTCCCGCTATGAAGAAGAAAATGCCTCACGCACACAAGGAGTTGCACTGATGCTTTCCAAGCAAGCAAAAAAGGCAGTGATAGGATGGCAATCTCATGAACCCAGGATCATCAAAGCATACTTCAAAACAAAGAAAGAGGGCGTTACAATGGATGTCATCCAATGCAATTCACCTACCAGTAACTACACTGACGACGCTAAAGGCCAATTCTACGACAGGCTGCAGTCAGTCGTCGAGAAATGCTCATCAAAGGATTTGACCATTCTTACGAGAGACATAAATGCTAAGATTGGCATCGACAACACTGCATATGAAGACATCATGGGACGAAATGGACTGGGAGAAAGTAACGAGAATGGTGAGAAATTTGAAAACCTATGTGCCTTGAACAAACTGGTCATCAGCGGCACAATATTCGCACATAAACGCATAGACAAAGCTACATGAATTTCACCGGATCACATCACTACGAACCAAATTGACCATATCTGTATCAAAAAAAGTTCAGAAGGACCATGGAGGACGAGAGAACCGAGAGAGGAACTGCTATAGCCTCAGAAGCAAACAAACAAGTGGAGAAGGTCACTAGAGCCTACAAATGTAAATATGGCGAAGATCTAGTAATGACGGCGTAAGAGGCCCCAAGAGAAGGAAGCTTGAGTCAATTGTACAATACAACAAAGAAGCTCGCCGGAAACTATCATTAACCAGAACGCCTGGTGAAACCAAGGAAGGCAAAGTAATCAGCAACACTGAAGAACAGCGAAATAGGTGGGTAGAGCACTTTCAGGAACTCTTGAATCGACCGACTCGACTGAACACACCCGACATCGAAGCAGTATCCATGGACCTCTCAATTAATATTGGCGCACCTACAACTGAGGAGATCAGCATGGCCATTAGACAAATCAAGAGCGGCAAATCAGCAGGGCCAGACATATTCCAGCAGAGGCAATAAAAGCAGACGTGGAAGCAACTGCGAAAATATTTCACATCCTTTTCAAGAAGATTTGGGATGAGGAACAAGTACCATCAGATTGGAAAGAAGGATACCTGATCACAATACCAAAGAAAGGTGATCTCAGCAAGTGTGAGAACTACAGAGGCATCACTCTTCTCTCAATACCAGGCAAAGTCTTCAACAGGGTATTGTTAAACAGAATGAGGGACTCCATAGACGACCAACTTCGAGACCAACATTCTGGATTTCGTAAATATCAATCCTGTGTTGACCAAAATGCAACATTACGAATCATTTTGGAACAACCAAATAAATGGAAATCACCACTAGACATTAAATCATTGAGTACGAGAAAGCATTTGATAGCGTGGACAGAAAAACACTATGAAGGCTTCTTCGACACTATGGCGTGATTGAGAAGATATTCAAAATCATCCAGAATTCTTATGATGGATTAAGCTGCAAAATCGTGCACAGAGGATAGTTGACAGACTCGTTCAAGGTAAAGGCCAGCTTCATATAAGGTTGCTTACTCGAACCTTTTTCTCTCTCCTGGCGAAAGACTGGATTATAAAGACATCAACGTCTAGAGGGAAACGAGGTATACAGTGGACAGCCAGGATACAGCTGGACTATATGGACGTCGCAGATGCTGTATCTCTTCTACCGCATACGCAAAAACAAATGCATGGGAAGACTATCAGTGTAGCATCAGCAAGTCTCAAACATACATAAAGGGGAAACAAGATTCTCGGATTCAACATAACATGCGCCAACAGAATCATTCTCGATGAAGATGCCTTGGAGGACATTAAAACATTTACATATCTAGACAGATTCATTGAGGAGCATAGTGGATCTGAAGCACATGTGAGGGCGCGGATCGCCAAAGCTAAGGCAGCATTTCTAAAACTGAACAACATCTGGAACTCAAAACAACTGTCAACAAACAAAAAGTCGGAATTTCCAATATGAATATCAAGAAATTTCTACTGCATAGAGTGGAAACTAAGAAAACTACCCAAGATATCATCTAAAAGATACAAGTGTTGATCAACAGTTGTCTACGCAAAATAGTTCGGATTCGTTAAACAAAAACCAAAACCAACAACCGACTGGGGCAGAGAAAGAACCGAATTCCAGTAAGAAAAGAACTAAAAAAGAAGAGGTGAAGTAAATAGGAGAAATAATTAGAAAAGCGCGGGAATGCATCAAAAGTAAAGTCGGACGTAGAAAACATAAAAAACAAAATAACAGACAAAAGTGAGAAATATATACTACAGAGAAAGAGAAAAACATGGTAAAAAACAAAAAAAAGGAAGTCATCAGGAAACACCGTAGATGAAAAGTCAGGAGCAGAAAAAAAGATAAGGAAAGAAAACACCAGTAAGCAGCATTAAAGACGTCAGAAAAAAGCACTCGATAAAAACAAAAAAAAATCACCACAATAATAAAACGGAAACACCAACTTCAATCTTCCTCATAGC